TGTTAGTTTAGTAATTAGTTTCCACGAGATGGAAAAGGTTGAACATTGCTACCCTGGGAGAGAAGTGTGAAGACAAGGAAGGAAGAGGGCGACAGTGATAGTGATGGACGTTAACCTTTCCAGAACGTTCTGTGGGCCATAGCATGTGTGTTCCATGCTCTGTGCTAAGTGTTGTGTGTCTGTTATTTCATTTAATTTTCCCAACAACCCTAAGAGGTAGGGAATATCAGTATCCTTATTTTACAGGTGGCAGGACTGAGGTTTAGAGATGTTAAGTGATTGGACTGCATTGCCAATAATGGTAGAGCTGGACTTTGAACCTAAGCAACAGATACTACAAATCTGTCACCACTGACATAAACAGTTCAAAAAAGCAAGTCCTAGTGGTGGTGGATCCATTGCATCACACAGAGAGAAGGGACAGGATATCTGATGGTGTAGAACCGGCTTGGGCAGTGTTTTAAGTTGTTGGCATGTAGTTCTGTTTTGTGTGTCTCCACATTGGCGTATCAGGGAAACAGCCAGGTAGGAGGGGTTTAGATATACCAGGCTGCTTGGAAGAGGCCTCTGGAATTACGGAGCTTATGTGTAAGTTCAAGTGCAGTTTAGGTTGGAGGAGCAGTTTTAAATAAACTTTAAATCTATTAATTATGGCTATGAGTCTATTTCTCCAATACCTTTATTTTGTGCAGATTGTGATCCCAGGTGTGGTGTGGCCAAATACTAATGCAGCTATGTATCAGGGAAAAAGGGAGATTGTTTTGTCTAATTATTGCTTTATTTATACCTTTCATTTATAAGTTAAAAGAAATTCCTCTCTGTGCTTTCTTAGTAAGGCCTGGATAATGGCCATAAAGGTTACCCGTAGAAAAATTCCGGGAATCCAATGATTCTGTGGGCTCTCTTAATTCTCTGGGGACATATAAATTGAATTCACTCAGCAGTGAACAGAATTTATTGCTAAATCACATTTTAGTGCAGAGGAAGCATATGAAGGCTTTCCTCACCCTCCTTTGATTTATTAAATTGCACTCCCATTGTAGCTTCTGGGTGAGGACTCACAGAATTGCTGTGCCCTGTGATTTGTATCAAAGACCCACTTTCCTGCCTGGTGTTTATCTTCAGGATCAAGCCCTTTGATTCAGAGAGAATATGAAGTGTTACTTGTATGTTAGATGCCAGCTTATTGTATAGGTTAGTAGTGAACACTTCAGGCTGAAATCAGAAGGCCATTGTGAGTTTCATTTTCTCTCTGGCTCAAGGCAAATTCTTTTCTCCAGTGACTCGCCTTCCCTAGCTGCCCAGCAACATCTCATCACCTTTATCATCATCATCATCACCATGTCTTACTTATTGTGTGGTTAGTGGTTAGGAGCTTGGGCTCTGGAGGTAGACTGTAGGAGTTCCTTTCTGGATTCTGACCGCCTCCAGCTACCTAACCTTGAGCAAGTTGTTTTTAACTCTCTATGTCTCAGTTTACTTATCTATACTCATATTAACTGATCAGTCTTCTTAGGAGCCATAGTCAGAATCGTTCTGTGGCTCATGTCCTCTTGAAGAGATCCTATAGAACTGGGTTCTATCTTTTGAAGACAAAGGTTCTGGAGGCGCTTACTCTGCTAATCATAAGCCAGAAGTCACTGCCCAAAGACCTTTCATTTCAGAAATTACCCTTGCCTTTGAACTTCAGTCTGACACCAGTGGGCAACTATAATTTCTGTAGAAGGTTTCCCCAGAACATTGCTAAAGGGTGAATAGCATCCCCTTTGCCTCTGCCAGTGTGGAAGGTATTTATGAACCACAGACTTCTGGGGTGTCCTGGTAGTTACGTGCATTTGCCACTGTCTGGAAATATAAGAGAATTCGACCCTCCTTTAGAGGCAAGTTAGAATAGCAAGTCACCTTCCAGTTCTGTGTCCTTGGACAAACTGTGTAAATCTCTCTAGGCCTCAGGTTCCACATCTATGAATTGGGCAGAACACTGGTAACTACCTTAGTACCTAAGGTAGTTTCAAGGATGAGATGATGTCGTGTTGTACATGGTAAATGCTCAGTAAATAAAGACATTATCTCTTAGTGCTGTTAGTTCTGTCAGTGAAGATGAAGCACGAGCAGACTTTCCTTACTCTCCTCCCTTTCCTCGCAGTAAGAGGGTACCACACGTTTGCGGTGCCACCGTCTGGCTTTGTGACGGTCAGGCAACTCCCAGACCCTCTGCTTTCCTCTTTGGGCCATGTAGTCACGCACTCCTGGTGGGCATAGTTTATTAGTTTCATTTCAGAAGTCATTCTCTTTGGCTCATTTACCCAAACCAGACACAGATTAATGGCCTGGCCTCAGAGAATGGGGTGGCACATGTCTCTGGTACCTTTGGCTCATTGATCATGCCTCTTCAATTTGGGGAGTGCTTGGGTGTTCCAGGCAGGGGTATCCTGAGACCCAGGAAACATGGAAGGAAAGTAATTTGGTGCAAACCCACCCCATAATAAGGAGAGCTGAAAGCCTTGCATTTTGCTACTTCTGGATTTTGCTATTAGTCAATAGAAGGGTGTCTCTGGGACAGAAAGTTTGAATTTAATGGAAGGGATGGCTGGGAAAAAAATACATGCCAAAATATGGTCTCTTTTCCTGCACTTTTCTTGCCCAACTTTCCAAGCTTAGTGAACACTCTTCACCATGGATCACTGGTTCCAGCTATTACAAGGCTTCCCTATCAGGTCACAAGGCCCTGTAGGATTGCATCACTGAACCTCTGCCCCATCCTTAGCTCCTACCCTGCACTGAGTGCCCACCACACTGGCCTTCCTCCCTCCAAAAGGCCATACCTTGAGACCTGCACATGGTATTGTCACTGACCCCCAGGTGTTCCCAAGGAGGTCCTCTCTCAGTCAGGTCTTATGCAGATGTCACCTCCTCAGAGAAGATATTCCCTACCTCATGTCCACAGTAGATTTTTATTTTCTCCACTGTACTTATTGATATTTGAGTATCATATTTGTGTATCTGTTTATGTTTGTTTTCTTCCCTGGTAGGCAAGTTCCAGGAAGCAGAGATCATAGCTGTTCTGTTCATCTGTATCCCCAGCATCTAGAACATGGCCTGGCCATTACAAGCACACAATAAATTTTTGTTAAATGCATGAATGAATAAACAAATTAATGAATTGCTAGTGACTCTAGAAATTACCCATTAAAGAGTTCTTCAAACTTTCCAAAGCCAGTATCCCCTTATTTGATAGTAACATGAATAAAGCCAATATAAGCAAAGGGAAGGGGGACCTGTGGATAGTTGGAGTATTAGCTTTGCTCCTGACCCTCCGGCAGTCCTTGTGAGGTGCTGTGAGGTTCAATTAGAAAAGTATGGTCTGTTCCAAATTCTTTACTTGTATTGATGGTTGGGGTGCTGCTGAGGGAGAATGGGCAAATGTGTTCTCCCAATACAGAAAGAATATCTTTTCCAAGAAATGTAAGTTTTTGAAATATAAGTCCGCTAATCAGAAGCATGGAATATTTTTAGAGGGACAATAACACTTAGCTTAAATTAAGATTCAAGTTAGTATTTCCTATCATCAAATCAATTTCCAATGTTTGTCTGTAGTTATCAGGTCTTACTCATGGGCTGTACAAAAGCAGGTGGTAAGCTGGATGTGGCCTGTGAGCCAGACTTTGCCAATCCTTGATATGCTGACATTAGATAAAATCAAGCCTCTGCTTCCAAAAAATATCATAGTACCCAAAACATTCTTCAGTGATGATGATTTTGTAAGTGTGGAAAGAGCATAGGGTGATGCTGGTCATCGTAACTTTAAAAAAGATACTCCAAGTGATTGTGATGGCCACTCTTGCTTGAGAGCCACTTATTTAACCCTTAGAGGAACTGAGCCATGAAAAGAGAGCCATGAAACCCTGAAAGGGATTTCACCTGCTGGGAATATTATACTGGTAATTTGGAAAAAATGATGATGTTTTGAATTTTATAAAACAAATTGTGGAAATTTATTTTCTCCCTTGTTACACAAATACCTGCACAATATCATTGATTTTTGTCTCCTGGCCTGCAAAACCTAAAATGTTTACTTTCTGGCCTTTTACTGAGAAAGCTTGCTGATTCTTGCCATGTGTCATTGTCTATTTTATGTGGAGCACTTTCCTTTTATGATTTCTGTGAGTCAGTTAAGGGGATTCGATTGTAAAAATAATATGTTCTCCTTATAAAATTCAAATTTACAACAGTCTATAAGGTTAAAAAAAAAAGATTGGTTCCATTCCCGTATTAATAACAGTTTGTAATGTACTTTTGTCCTGAATTTGTCACTTACTAGCTGTGAAGCCTTAGTTAATGTCTCTAAATCTCAAATTCTCCATTTGTATACAGTGATAAAACAGTTCCTACCCCAAAGAATTGTGGATAATTTGAGATAATTCATGTGCATTGCTTAGCACACTGCCTGGTGCACAGTTAATGCTTAATGATTTATAATTAATTTAAAATGTTTTCTTTTTTAGCTTTATATACGCACATAGTTTTTTTTTTAAAGATGGAATATGATTTTTTAAAAGATTTTATTTATTTATTTTTAGAGAGAGGGAAAGGGAGGGGGAGGGAGAGGGAGAGAAATATCGATATAAGAAATATCTATCTGTTGCCTCTCATATGTGCCCCGTCCAGGGATCAAACTGGTGACCTTTTGCTTTCTGGGCCAATGCCAAACCAACTGGCCAAACCAACTGGCCAAACCATGCCAGTCAGAGCAGAGTGTGATTTTTTTTTTTTACAATAAAGTTTCACAGATGATTCCAATGTACACAGACTTAAGAACAGTTACAGTAAATACTGGGAGCTGGATGATTATGGAAGGGATTCATATTTGAGGGCTAGCTAGAAATTGCCTTCAATCATATAGAACAAACTAGGGAAAGGGAGGAGGTAATGGTTTTCTTCAGTGAACCTGTAGGGTGGTATAAAATGCACAGAGGTAAATGTTTATTTCTTTTTTCCAGGTCTACAACTCGAACAAAGACAATCAGACCGAAGGAAGTAAGTATGGTGCTTTGATAATTTTCTGTAGTTGGAGTTGGGATTGGGCTCTGAGAAGTTGCTACTCCAGAGAGGAGCCACCAGGAGGTGCTGTGGGCTTGTTGGGCCTGCCCCATTTTTCCCAGTGTAGCCAGAGAAGCTTCCATCCTGACTTACCGTGTCCGTGACTCCAGGACAATCAGTGAGCCTGAGTGGCAAGGCGGCGATGACACTTTGTATTATATAACCCTTCACACTTTACAAAACGTTTTCATGTACATTATCTCAGTTAATCCTAGGTCATCTTAAGAATGTAGCTCCAATCATCACTTAAAAGTCACTTAATCCAATAATACCCAGCTCCCCAAGAGCCCTGTCCTATGAGAAAGCCAGAATTGACTTTGCCTGCTGCACAGTCTTGGTCACAGGACTGGAGAGGCAATACTATCTTAGTGATCACTTAGGAACTGTGTTCTTTGTTGCCTCTTTGGAAAGGAAGGGGTGGAGATGGTGAGCTCTGTAAGAGTATTCCTCTGTGGTGGGAGGGACGCTCAGCAGCCTCTGTAGAATATCCAGGACATTCCCCCCTGCTCCTGGCTCTGAGCACTCTGGTTAATCATGATTTCCAAGGGCACCTGCAACCTTGTAAAGATGAGGGGATTAAAATAAAACTGCTACTGCTTAGAGTGTTTGGGATGATTATCTCCTTGGTGCACAGGAGAAAAAAAAACAGATTCCTTCCAGGTTCTATAAGAGTACAAAGGAAATCCTGTCCCGTTGCCTCAGATTTGCTTTGTAAAATCTACTTAAAAAAATGCAAAGGTAACTCTACCATGAGTTCCAGTAATGTCAGAAAAATCAGTAAAACAGTACCTTTTCATGTGAACAAAAGCATGAGCTATTTTTTTGTTGTTGTTAAATCAATTATAGGACAGAGGTTTTCCTTCTTTCATAAAAACAGATTTTACCAGGAGTTTAATATTGGATATTAAGTAATTTGATAGGTTAAGAGGCCTTTAGGGCAGAAAAAAAAGTTTGGGGTTTTTTTTTTGTTTGTTTGTTTGTTTTCCTCCTCAAAATTTGAATGAGGAAAAAAAATTTTAAGTAATTATTCAAGGAAATAAGTCATTCTTTTCCTTCCCTCTTTATCCAGTAGGATTGTTTTAGAGCATTTTACATCAGCTCTGGCTAACTTGGGCTAAAATAATGATAGCAAAAACAATAGCAATGATAATGAAGGAATATGGAAGGCTGTAGGGTAACTCACAGTAAAGTAGAAAGAGCTGAAGAACCAGGCTTGAGGACATATCACCTCTAGAGACCCAGGATGAGACAGGGTCTCCTGGATGATATTTGCAGGATGATAAAACATTTTTTAGTCCTTGCCTCACTCTTCTGAAAATTCAGATTCCCAGGAAAGGTAGCATCAGGTTAGTTTAACTTGGGCCCAGGCAGGGGAAAACAAGACACTTGATTGACAGTTTCAAGGGTACTGCATAAAATGGGAGCAGAGGGAAATCAGGGAACCCACCAGGACAAGCAGTACAAAGTAACAGATGGCCACACCATGCCCCAACCTGGGACATACTATTCTAAGGATTCAAGAACTGTGGAGGAATTGAGCGAAAAGAAAAAGGACTCATGGACATGAACAATAGTGTGGTGATTGCAGGGTGGAGGGAGAGGGGTGTGTGGAGGGGAAGAGGATATAAGGGGGATAAATAGTAATGGGGAAAAAAAATAAATTTCTTAAAAAAAAGAATCGTGGCAGACGAGAGGCATCTGAATGGAGACCCTCAACCTGAAGTTTCCTTGTAGCTGTGATCTTATGAACCTGCTTCTCTCTGCTTGAGATAAGTACTAATAGATTTGAAAGATGACCCTGATTCCATTGGTGGGCATTGTCACCTGGTTCTACCACTCTGTAAAGCCTTTTAGAAATATGTATTGAAAGCCTTTAAAAAGTGATTATTCTTTGACCCAATAATTTGTCCCAAAGAAATAGACTAGAGTTTTAAGATATTTGTGCCTCAAAGGAGTTTACTGGGACATTGGTAATAATAGCAAAGAATTGGAGACAATCTAAATGTCCAGTATGAAACTGATTAAAAATGTAGCCCTAACTGGAATGGCTCAGTGGATTGAGTGCTGGGCTGCGAACCAGAGGGTTACAGGTTCGATTCCTAGTGTAGGACACGTGCCTGGGTTGCAACCATACATTGATGTTTCTCTTCCTCTCTTTCTCTATCCCTTCCCTTCTCTAAAAATAAATAAATAAAATCTTTTAAAAAAAAGTCATAGAGTACCATGTAGGCTTTAAAAAGAACAAGAGACATCTAGATATATTTATAGAAATAATGATCTGTATACTATTATTTGAAGTTTAAAAAAATTATGTTATAGAACAATGTATGTAGTAAAATGAATTACATATTTGATTCACTTATCAGTGATTTTTAACCTTTTTCATCTCATGGCACACATAAACTAATTACTAAAATGCTGTGGCACACCAAAAAATATATTTTTTGCTGATCTGACAAAAGTAGGTAGAATTTGATTTTAAAAAATTAGTAATAATAATAATAGTAGTAACTACCTACCCTTTTTGATCCAAAGTCACTTTAAAAATCAGGTACCTATACTTGTATGTAAGGATTTCTGCTACCAAGAATTAACCAATCAGATGCAACCTTATTATGCAATGTGACTAATAAGATGCAACTGTATTTTATGACCTATATATTTACTGTTCAGGACAGAATGTTCACACCAGATGGCTATTGTTGTGTTGGCTGTTATCATTTTTTCATTTGGTAATCTAATGGAAAAGAGGTCAGTGCCCTAGACTAGTCAAGTATTACATGTTTTAAAAATTCTTGCAGCACACTGTTTGAAAATCGCTGGTCTATCTATATATTGATAAATAAAGGCCTGGAAATACATTTTTTTCATCAAGGTCTTCATCAGGATGGAGTGGATTATTGAGAGGGACTGACCTTCTACTTTAAATACCTTTCTGTACTTTGCATTGCTTACAGTGAGCATATATTTTACAATAGTAGCTATTAATAGATTGCATTTATTGACCACTTACTATGTTTCAGGATATTTTATGCAATTAGCTCATTTAATGCTTGCAAAACTCTGAGATAAGTGTTTTTGGCCCACTTTTGTAGATTAGGAAATTGAGGCTAGTAAACTCAGAGGATGTGATTTAATCAGAGTTCTAAGTCTAAAGGCTGTACTGTTAACCACAAGGCTATTCTACCTCCCTAGGAAAAGGACAATACAAAAAGTTCCATTTTGGAAAGCATACACACTTGCCACATTTTGCTTCTGGCATCCAGTTATTCCCAGAGTGCAGAGAGTTAACTAATTTGAGTCTGTAATGATCCTTCAGTTGTTTGCTCTTTCATTTAGCAAGAAGGAGGGAAAAAGATGGGGTAAAACAGATTGGCCATTTTTCCAGGAGTGTAGACAGAAATTATTTTTCTACAGTATTGAGATATTCTGGTTGCTGATTTCCAAGCTGGCAAACAGTGCTTCCTCACCTCCTCTGGCATTGGGGCACCTTTTTTATGTCGTACAATGCCGTAGCTGCCCCTCCCCTTCTCAGCGGTTGTATTTTTAGTATTTCTTGATTGTGGTAATTTGCATTGGCACCCCACAGCACCCATTGGGTTCCTCTGCCACAGGTGGCACTCTTGTCCAAGGTCTGAATTCCTCTGCAACTCTTTTTCTGTTTATACCACAATCAAAATCCTTTTAAAGTTAGGAAGTCAATCAGATGTAAATTTTAAGAATGGGGCATTGCTTTTTTTTTTTAAATATCCAAATTCCACATGTCTAGCATTCTCTTGCTGGAAAATCTTTTGGTGGGAATTTGAATGCCAGCATTTTATCAACGAGCCATAATGGGCAGGGGGCAAAAGGAGATTCCTCTGGGGCACTTCTGTATCTGTTACTTTCATCTTGAAATTTCTCTCAGGGCATACAGTGCCGGTGGGGTGTAAGACAGAGCCATAAATAATGTCTGTCAACTGCTGGTATTTTCCAAATGGTCTGGTTGCCAGGGAGCGGATGGCAACAGATAAATGTATGTGCGTTTCTTTGCAGAGCCTTTTTCCTCTCCTTTACTCTCTATTTGGATCTCAAATATAGAAGGATTGAATTAATCATACTCCCCCGCCAGTGACACATTATCATCACAGGGTCCTCCATTCATTCATTTCCATTCCCTTTTCATTCTTTTCTCAACTCCTGTTCCTGTCTTCCAGTATAGGCCACCATTCTAGTGAGTACTTTTAAACTGTATTTTCAGACAGTGTGTATCTCTTTATCTACCTGTGCTTTTAAGTTACATAAATGGCTAGATGTCTTGTGCAGTTTCTTACTTTGCTCTGTCAGCATGGTTTGGAGCCATCCATACTTCTCTGTCTGCTTCCAGAGCATGGCTTCTGTCTGCTGCACACTCCATGGTGTAGAGCACTGTGTATCTGCTTCTGCAGAGATGCCCTCCACCTCCTCAGGCCTCCAGCTCCTCGTTAACTACTAATGACACCGCAAGGAACAGCTCTGTGCATGTCCCCCTGTGTGACAGTTCCCTTGGGTTATATGCATGACAAGAATTGCTGGTCAGAGTTGGAGGGAGGGCGCTCATGTCCTTCTCTAGAGCAGTCAGTCCTCAGTCCGCCCAGCCCCCCGCGAGGGTTTCTCCATTGCTGCCAGTTCTTGCCATTATTCAGCTTTCTAATTTTTTTGTCAGTCTTATAAAATGATAGCACACGGTTGTTTTAAATTGCATTATGATAATTAATGAGTTTGAGCATCTCTTTGTATACTCGTTTACTGGGTTTCCTTTTCTATTTTTTTGCCTATTAATGTCCTTTGCACATTTTTATACAACTGTTGCCATTCTTCGTGATTTGTAAAGTTCTTCTAGATATCTGTATTCTAGATATTAACTCCTTGTTAGTTGTAAACATTTTAAATATTTCTCCCCATCTTGTCATCTGTCT